AAACTAGTATATGAAATTAATATGTGATGCATAGAAATTTGCAAAAAGTAGTAAACCTGTCAGCAGGCTCTTTCACGGGTCATTTGGCTCACCTATTTGTTACAAATGACTCATTCCATTGCAGTATATTTTATGTAGTATATTAAAAGAAAAAAGCCTTCGCTTTTTGCCAAATTTTATTATTTTAAAGCTAGTTTTTACACTAAAGTTATACTATACTGAAGGTCTGAAAAACTTAAATGGCATGAGCCTCTCTCGATTTCCGAAAGACCCTGTATTAAGGCATCATGTTGTATCCTTATTCTAATACTTCAGCAAAAAATAAAATAACATTTAATTTACTAAATTGTTATATTGATTATCCAAATTGTGTAAGTAAAATGAGGAAATAACAGCCAGAAAAAACAAAAACAAAAACACAGCAGTAATCACTTTCTTTTACTTTAAAATATTCTTGCTCATTATCTTCTTTACAAGATAATTACTTGATTAGTGAATCAAATTTTACATTTCATAATTTCAACATCAATTTTTTGTTACAGTAAATTTACTAAAGTTTATAATTATTTCGTTGGAGATAAAAATATCATCAAAAATTCGTACTTGTCCTCATAAACTCTTTCGCTTCTGGTGATTAACTGGAAATTTTCTACAATGCCAAAATATTAAGAAATGTATTGTTGAAGTCTGCGCTGACCAAATGAGGCCGTAAAAACCGATTGGCATAAGTGATAATTTAGTAGAACACCTTGAGGAATGGGTGAAGGACTTTATGGTCTAAATTCAACTTAGAATTTTAGTCACAAAATTAAGTTTAACTCATTAAAAATTTAAATATTAATTAAACATTTATCCTAAACCTAGAAATGATTATCATATCCTTAAAGATAAAGCAAAACGTTGGAAAATAATTGTAAGTTAAAAAAAAAAAATCTACCCAATCCTTACTTGATGTAAAAAATATATATAAAAAATAATATCAAGTTGTCGGTTATATAATATTTTTTTTAATACCTTCATTCATCATACATTTTCCTAATACAGGTAGTTACATAAATATAACATGAATTAAAATATTTTAAAAGTAATCAGTACTATATCAAAAATTTATATAAATAATTATAAATTATTCACATATATAGACCTATATCAATATAATTTTTTTTGTAATTACTAATAGCCCACTTTCAATATATTTTTTTGGTAATAGAATTCCAAATCAAGGCGTCTTTTAAGAAATGTACATTACACAGAGTACTAAGAAGGATGTTGACCTCATTTTTTTCCACATTTTACATTTTTATACATTTTCCTTTCAAGCAATATCACTAGCAAACTAATGAATTTATAATCCTTTAATAATGTTATATTAAATATTAAAATATGTACAAATATATACATTATATATATGTTTATATAAAGTATAATTAATGTTATATAAATGAGAAAATTATATATTATCTTATTATATGATGTTATTTTATAAATTATAATAATATATATTTATTTTCTACACTTTTAGTTAATTAATTTTAAGTATTTTTTAAAAATAAACTTTATTCAAATATATTTTAATTTTTAATATTAATAAAACAATTTTAAATTATAAATTCATACAACGTGCTAATATTATTATTACTATTATTACTTTAAAAAAAATCGTGTTTTATATTTATGAAGAGAATGATGTTGATTAACTTTGTGAATAATGAAAAGAAAATTATAAATAGAATATTTAAAATAGATCGAGGTTATTTTATAAAATTTTAAACAAATAAAATTGCATTTCTTGGTAATGTGTCATTTAAAATTATAATTATTAAGCTTTACTGAATTTCAAAATATTAAAAAAAATTAATTGAAATTATAAAATGCAAATTTATAAATATATATTTTAATAATTTTATTAATTTTTTGTAATTTAAAAATATTTTTTTTAAAGTTTTTTTACTTAAAATAAAAGTAATATTAATTATTTTAGTATTTTAGTAATATTTAATAGTAAATAAATTGGCTCAATTAGAAAGAAATTTTATTTATTCTACTAAGTTATAAAACTGGGTAGAAACAGTAAATTAATAGCAAGAAAAATTGTTCTTAATAATAATATATTATTTAGATTTAGATTAAATATAATTAAAAACAAGATTTATCCTGANGCCAACTGTGTATATATATGTCATTCGATATTAATATGTATCTGTGATTGTAAAAAAATGTAGGTCTATACAATAACTAATATTATTAATGAACATTTTATTGCTAAAAATTAAATGAATAATAAAACTAATTAAATAATATATTTTAATTATTTTTCCGTTCATATCTTGCAAATTCATCTATATCATAAATACGAATTATTTAAAGCTGCTTTGAAATGAAAATGAATATATTAAATTTAATTAGAATTAGAAATTGTTAAATTAAACAAAATTTCTTAATTTTTCTGTTTTATTAAATAATTATATATATAAATTTGAATTTTGTTAATGCATATTGATATATTTTTGAATAAATATATACAATTCATCATAGTGTTTGTGTATTTGTAAGTGAATATTTGTAAAAGTGATGACTGTGATTCATTGTGATGCTGTTACATTTCTCTGTGTATTTATAGATTAGTTTTGTTTATATGTAATGCTGTAAATCTTAAATTTTAAAATTATGTTATCAAACAGTTGTACTTAATTTAAACTTAAAAAAGAAAAATTAATTTAGTGATTAATACAGATACATATACAGATATGCATATATTAATAAATAGAAAAAATATCTATTATAAATTTTTATATTGAAGTTATGAATAAAAAAGATGAAAGACGTGGACGTCTTCCTCAGTTTTTAAATGTAAATTTAAGTTAATTCTGTAAATCTTTAGTTTTGTAGTAATTACTGAAATATACACATATATACAGCATAAAGTAAAACATATCTGCTTGACATATTATTGTAGTTAATAGCGTGTTATTAAACTCTCTATTAGGCTATAAACACAATAAAATTTAGATTTCTATAATTAATCTTATAGGTCATAGAAAACATAAATAATGATTATAACGAAAATCAAATGAATATAATCGTTTTACGTTAGTTAAAATTTGAATATAATAATATGTTTGGTAAAACTTCTTTACTGACACACATTTTTATAAAACAATAAATTTAATAAATTTCTTACAATTTCATAAAATAAAAACATTTATTTACAAAATTCAGTTTAAGATTCGGAGATAGAAATGTATCTAAAACAGAAAACAAAACTCGGTTAACTGACTTTTGGGTCAGCCTTTATAATGTACAATAATCAATTTATTGAATCACTAAGGTGAAATAGAGAAAGAGTGTCGTGCTTCCACTATGAAGGATCTGAATTTAAATTACTTTCTTTACAGGTTCAGTCATTTTATCAAAACATTGTTTTATAATTTCAATCTATTCTTTTCCTAACACCATTTTTAATTTCATTTTTAAAAAATTAATTGTTTTTCTTTAACAATCAAAATTAAAAAACTAATTTAACAAACATTAATAATTTAATTGTAAATTAAATATGTAAATTAGAAAATAATTGAAGAGATTTAATTTAAAGTAATTTAAAGTAAGAATTATTTAAATATTATTTAAAATCAGTTTGAATGGAATCTGATTATAGATCACCTGTCCATACACAAATTTCTATTGTCTTACATAAAAACACTTTCTGTTTAAAAATTATCTAATTATTCTATTTATAACCGAATTATTTATGAAATATCATTAAGTTATTGCGTGTGAAAAGTTGTCTGAATTTTTTATTATGCTTTTATTTTGATTTAAAGATAACATTAATTAATATTAATAGAATATTTATAAGTTTTATCTGAAATTTGCCAAGTAATTTTAATTCGAGATTACATAACGTTGAATTACATTACAATATTTTAAAATAAGTACGAAAAATTGTATGCAGTATTTAATTTTCTGACGATACTTATGTTTAATTAATATACTTATGATGCATAAATACAGATGCAATGTGAAGACTTAATTATTGAATGTAAATATGTTTATGTCAGAGTTAAATTTATTTATTTATAAACAAATGATATAGATATATATTATATTATTAGAAATAACTATAATGTTTTTTTTTCATTTCAATAAAGTGAGCAAATGGAACTGCGTGGTGTTTCCAGTAAGGACCATGTTCTATCGTTTTTCGTCTTTTTCCTCTCGAATGTCCTTTCTACTGTCATAAAAGTTGAAAAATTTTAAGGATATCTTCACAAAAAGAAAGTAAAAGATATTATTAAAAATACTTTTCCTCTAATTCAAAATTTTTCTTTTTAAAACTGATAGCCTTTGCTTTTTGTGTATAGTAAACAGAAAATAATGTTGTTATTGGTTTGCAAGTGTCAGTTCATTTATTAAGTGGAATTTAATATGAGGCTAAAAGCCATGCTTTAAAGAAAGATAATTCATTAAAGATAGATTAATTCTTACAAGAGCAGAATAAATAATGTGCAATATTAAAAAATATTTTTAAAATGGAAAGAGAACAAGAATTGAATATTCTTTCAAACTGTGACGAAATCATATATTTAAAAAAAATTTATAAAAATCTCTAGAATAAAACTTTAAAATAAAAATAACAGTGATGGAGCGTTGGAAATTGATTTAAATTGTGTATAATTTGAAGAAATTGCATGTCTTCTTTAGTTTCATTGTGTTTTATTGTATATAATAACTATAAAAAAAGATCCTAAATTGCGTTTTTAAAACAAACAAGTAATTAAGAAATAAAAGAAAAAAAGAATAGATAATAATATCGAAGAAGTTAAAGCAATAAGTTGTAATATAGTCAACTCAAGGTAGAAATATACTTGACCTAAATGACAAACAAACCGATTCAACACTTTACTCACCATTGGCTTAACTATGGATATCAAACAGCTTGTTTGTCCGAAATAACTTTCCTACTAATTTCTCAACCTAGTCCGGATTAGGGTGGCGTTGCAAAAACTCATACAGTATATATAGCTGGAAGAATTTGTGTCGAACAGTAAACTAGTACTACTCCAGTACAGTCAACATGAAAGTGGTTTACTTAGTAGCAGCTATCCTCTTGTTTGGTATGTACTTTTCTATTATATCTTAGAAGTAAGTAAAGTGGTGAGTTTAGAAAATCATCAGCGATTTTGCGGATTTAATCAATTGTCTTAACATTCTAAATTATTTTCTGCTTGGCATTAATAATATTTCCTTTACAATACCGATTTAAAATTTAATTTGAAGTCCTGGCGTTGGAAAATATTCAAATGGTGCAATATTAACAATATGATCGCTCTTCTGTTATTTTGAAAAGTTTCCAAACTTGTGTAAATAACGAACTTAAATTGATTAGATTTTATTTTAAAAAGATTTAATTTTCAAATTTCTCATTTTTAAATATTAAAACAAGACAACAAATTCAAAATTAAATTTATTTATTTACTTATTAATTGTTATTTTTTGTATGTCTGTACGAATATTCTTAAGTTCGTAATTTATAATTATAACGATAGATCACTAAAAAAAAGTAGATTTATTATAGAAATGTCATTGTAACAGTGTTATAGTATAACAAAATTATATACATTTCAAGTTTTTTACTTCCTAGAGTAGATTGAAAAAAATAGCAAGAGGAAAATAGCTTAAATATATATTCATTTATATTAATAAGAATTTAGTTTTCTTAACTATATTAAAAAGTTTTTCCTGTACTTTATAACTAAATTTTAAAAATATTTACATACTTTTCCAACCGTAAACATTATAAACAAGGAATAAAGATTTTATAAAATTAAAAGGAAGGAATAAAAGTTACATATTTTGCTATATTGGTAGAGATGATAAAGATTTCAAATAAAATATTTATAATTTTTGAACATATTTTCCTTGAAAGAAGTTTAAAGGAAACTTTCATTGATAAATTTTCCTTTCTAGATCAGTTTATTTTAAGTATACTCGTTTAATATTCTCTAACTGTTATTTCTTTTTTTATGTAATAAAAACGATTAAAATATTATTCCTTTATATCTATTTAAAGCATATAAATTAAGAATAAATTCTTCATAAATTGCTGGCCATTGCTCTTCCTATTTTATATTTTGAAATAAGAGACCTCATTTCAAAATAAGGAATCTATGTTGCCTCGAGGCCTGGTTCACTTTCCATACCTATTAATTCTTATAATGAATAGAAAAATAATTATTTTTAATTATTTTTCATAATTTATTCACAAAAAAAGTAATTTTTTAAAACAAATATTTACTTGAAAAATGATTTTTATCTATAGTTTTTATAGGTTATTTTCATATAGTATAATTGAAAAAGTAATGAAACAATTGAGTAATGCTTAGCTATGCAATTTTAAAATGTTGTAGCCTATTACTTTTTTTAATTTAAAAAAAACGTATTGCAAAATAGTTAAATAAATTCTTTAAGATGATAATTTATATTTTGATGAGAAAGCATGCTTCGTCTTCCTGTTATGAAAGAGAGTCCTCATTTCGAAATCAGGAATAACTTATAGTCGCCTGAAGCTCTGGTTCACTTTCAATTTTTTTTCTTTTTAATTTTTTGGAGTCATAAAGTTAATAACATATCTAAAACCATTATCATTATTAAATTAGGAGCTGAACAATCTCTTCAACAATCATGCCATCTGAGAGAATTGGATCTCTGTGCTGCTTCAATGTTATTGTTTACCCAAGGACAATCTTCTCCCATAGCTGCTAACGAAGAAGAAGTCACAAAACAATGCGAGTAAGTTATTTAAATATAATTAATCTTTTACGTTATTTTGAATTTTTATGAATAAGCGAACACTTAGTACCGGCTTCATTGTCTTATCCTCTAAGCAGAGTCCGTCTAAAGCGGGAACCTGTATATTCTTATTGCGGGCCCTGTGCCTATAGAATCTTAGAGGGAGACGTAGGCTTTGCTAATACTTGAGCCTTGGTCTCTAAAAGATTCCGCATTTATATTTTGCACTGGAATCTGCAATATATGGAGCTGGTAGTGTATATCTTTATATATTATTATTCTAAACTTTATTATTTTCATTATTAAAAGGTATATCACAGAAGCACGTCACTGTATAAACAATTTTACAAACAAATGCACAACTGAACTTCAAAGAGAATTATTAAAATATGTACTTGAAGGAACAGAAAAAACCATGGACGATTTCTGTACAAAGGGATCAAATTTAAGAAAAGGTAAATATATTGATATATAACTTTAAAATTATAGAAAGTTTTTAATGTTAATAATCATATATTTTCTTGTAACTTATACACATAACATTTATTTAAGAATATCTGAAATATGCTCCATGTGTGAGTAAACATTTCGAAGATCAAAGACCTTGTTTGAATGATGCTTTAGCAACTTTGGAAACTTTGGAACATAAAAAATTCGACGAAAGAATTCCAACAATTTGTTGGTATGATATTTTATTATTTCAAAAATAAAATTACACTAAAATAATTTCAGATTTTAAAAATATTAATGGAATTACTTTGATTTATTTCTAGTGGTTACTCCAGATTCCGCAAATGTCTCAGCAATAACGTTATCAACAAGTGTGACAAAGAAGCTGATAAACTTATCGATAAAGTGATTCAGTTAACAGCAACTGATCTTTTGTCATTGATCTGTGGTAATTACGATCACTCTGGTGATAAATGCAAGGGTCTGTTGCCATCTGAAGGATCCAAACCGAAAGGTTCAAACTCCAACTCCGCTTTAGGACGTATTCTGTCAGCATTTCTGACAAATTAAAAAAAAAAAAAAAAAAGTGTATTTAAAGCACGCAGAAAGAGAGTCAGAGAAAATATTTTTTTATAAAAGTTTTATTTTTATAATAATTATTTTTTTAAACACGTTCCTAAACTTGCTTAGCGCGTTGACGTTTTTATTTTTGATAGAAAAATAAAGTTTTCGCTTTACACTTTTAAATAATTTAATGTCTCTGTTTCTTATTTATTTCATATATAATTTATATATTTTTAAATTTTTAATTATTCTAACGAAAAATATTTTAAAAAATTAAAATATGGTTTGAGAATGTTCTATCATGGAATTTATTCGATGAAATATTACAATTAACTTCTTTCTGCATAATATATTTTAAAAACATACAGAATTCTTTCCGTAAAATTATTAAAAATAAAAAAACTTGCCTACGAAAATATTTTTGCATAAAACTTCCAGGTAGTTTGAAGAAGTAACGCGAGTTTATACGGTTCATTTCTCATGAGTGATAAGGGAAATTTTTTAGATTGCGAGATACCTAAATTTTAATTTGAGATGTTAAACATTTCCAATCTTAATAATAATCACATAATATTCTAAAAATTTCATACTTTATTCAGGATCAAAGTAGGAAAGTAGAAAGCAGGTACATCATAGCTTATGGGAAGATTGCACATTCGCAAAACGTTTGGCTGTTTGATGATGGCTATACAAACTTGCAAAAATTACTAGTAAAATTATTTTATGATGAAAATAATGTACCATATTGCCTTTATAACATTTTTTGACAGATTTTTATGTATATTCTCACATAATATATTATTTTACAATTAAAAAGTATTATGAGTTCTAACAAATATTTATTCATTTTAAATACGAAAAGTTGATATTTTGATGAATAAATTTTATATTTTGCTTTGTTTTTTTAACTCTAAAATTTGGAAGTGAATACAACTTCCAAGTTTTAGAAAAAAACATAAAATAGGTCTAACAGTTTTTAATAAATTTCTTATTAGAACTTTTACTTAAATAAATATTTTTAAATGAGAAATAATATCATAATATTCCTTACAATTAATATTGAAATGTTTAGATTTGAAGATATTAGTGCAAAATTTACAAGAATTTGTGCAATTGTTTCTAGAATGAAATGCAATGGAATAGTAAGGATTTTGTTTATAGGAGACCGAGTTAGAGCTGATACGTTGGAGACGTTTTAACTACCAGGGGAGGTAGTCGAATAGTACGGACTTGTTTTAAAATAATCGGCAAGTTTTCTAGGAAATCACACATTTTCAGTTGTTGCTATTTTTGTATTTATTCTGTTTATCTTTCAAAAACAGAATAAGTGTTTTCCTGGAGAAACAGAACTTCGGCCATTTCAATTAGAGTAATCGATTCAGTTTTTAAATAAAGGAATCCAACATAGGCAAAGTTTCTCTTTTAGGTTTAGGTGGTTCAGTGAAAAATTTCACATCACTTTATTCGCCCTTAAAAAAATTGTAAACTAGAAAAATCTTAAACTTATAACAATAGCACTCATAGATTCTCAGAAAGTCTTTCTGTAACTTCCTTCTTAAACTAATTCCTCGGATATATTCATTAAGCATAGCCCGTTTAAGCGGTTTTCTGTCATCGTCGATCATAACCGTGTTTTGAATACACAATTTTCAATAGTAGACTCGTTAAACAAAGCTAGGCTATTGAAATTATAAAGACATTTTTTATAGCCGGAAAGAATACGTTGACTTCTTTAATCACTTCGACTATTTTTATAAGTTTTCTAAATCCTGCCGACCAACATTTTTCTAGCTCAATACATGATACCACAATTCAGCCTCAGACTCAATCCTCTAGTTTGTTAAATTCATCCAAACATCTCGCTTTGTTTCAAATCTTCTATAGTTGTATGTAGCACGAGAAAGGAATGTAGAGACAATATAGAAAAAGTCGGTACACTTTCTTCAGAAAATCTGTTCTCCATTGCTGACATAAATCGAAGTGTGGAATAAGTATCAATCATTTCCAGTACTCGTCAGGTGTTTTACAATTCTAGGCAGCTGAAGTTCTACTAGCAGTAGCATGGACAGAAGCGAGATCTTTCATAATGACATCAGCAGTTTGGCAGTGAACTTTCACTACATTCAAAATTTTCTTTATATGGTTCGCACATTGAAAAAGATCTAAACTTTTTGACTCTATTTGCAACGGGATCTTATTAGAAGAGTAAAGCAGAGTGCTATAATGAAGGTAGAAATAATGAATACAGGTTTCGTGGCATTGAATAACTGTCATTTTTGTGGCAGTGATTCTTTCTTGTGCGACTCTTTTCGGATCTTGCATAATTTATACAAAACTATGTTTGAAAATGGAAATGCTTCGGTACTTTTGAGACTACCTTGTCTCGCACAAAGCTGATATGTTCGGAATAAACTTTCTACTTAAAATAGATTCTCGGAAAAAATACTAATATCAATAATGGCTAGAGACAAACATTTTATTTTTATTGCTTATTGGTGTGACAGGGAATAAAATTAACGCAGAACTTATTCTGGTGTTAGTAACAAATTTTACTCAAAGATGGTGTCACAGTCGCTGACACTTGCCAAGGAGTAAAGTAAGTATGAGGAGTCACTGGCTGAAAACGCAAATGTGAGCGACTGCAGCATCATCTATGAGTAAAATTTGTTACTAATACCAGAATAGGTTCTGCGTTAATTTTATTCTCTGTCACGCCAATAAGTAGTAAAAAAAAAATGTTTGTCTCTAGCCATTTTTCAAATATTCCTATTGAAAGTAGGAGAGTACATTTCAGAACACCAGTGGCGCCGACAGACTATGAAAAAGGGGGAACAAGTTATAAAAAAAAAGTCGTTGTACGTATATTTTTACAATCAAATAATCAATCAATCATCGCTTTATTAGTACAAATTTGTACATACCTGGCCCCGCTTTTATAGCATTACCAGGTGAAATTATATACAGTGTACAATTACAAGTATTTTAATTACAGTAGAGCATCGATTATCCGACCCCAGATTAACCGTCACATCGGTTAACCGACCATTCTAGTTCGCAAATTTCAAATGTCCGCTAGTGATGTGGTGCTACAATATTTGGCTATGTCTTGGCTACTTTAATATTATTTTTATTAAATTTTTGCGTGTTTTAGCTAGCAACACGGCTCGACTATTGAAGGAAGGCCAGTATTTAAACGAGACTTAATTTTCTAATTATGAGTGGTTGTTTGTTTTGTGATACAATAGCGACGATTATTATTTTTAAAAAAAATTGTTAGGCTTAACATCGATGAAAATTCAACGCGAAGTTGGTTCATAGCGATATACTAATATACTATTTACATGGGATATATTAATATACTATAATAATAATGTATTGTTCTCATTCTTTTCGGTCATTCTATTTGGTTAATTTTTTCAGTTATCCGACCAACCTGAGTTCCCAATTGAGTCGGATAATCGATGCTCTACTGTATTACAATTAATTGAGTATATTAAGAAGTATGATAATTAAAGTTATACAAAATAAATAGTTTGTTTTGGAATATTTAGAATAGAATAATTTAACGACAACAAAATGAACAAAGTTATACTAATAACTAGTTAACAAAAATAATTANGAGTATATTAAGAAGTATGATAATTAAAGTTATACAAAATAAATAGTTTGTTTTGGAATATTTAGAATAGAATAATTTAACGACAACAAAATGAACAAAGTTATACTAATAACTAGTTAACAAAAATAATTATTATTAAATGTAATCGAGTTTATATGAAAATAAACTCACAATTGTTACACTGAAAGTTCATGCACAAAAATGGATCTTAAGTGTAACGATAAAGTGAAGATTTGTAGAAGCAGAAATTTACTGAATATTTGTTCAGTCCGTCACTGCATATATGATTAGCAGTAGAAAATTTGTATTTGCACAGTATATTTTCTATTAAAGTCTATTTGTCACAATTGGATGAACAAAATAATAGTTTGCAATAATTGTTACACTGAAAGTTTATGGAGAAAAATGGATCCTAAGTATAACAATAAAGTGAAGGTTTGTAGAAGCACTTATTTTCTGAATGTTTGTTCAGTCCATCACTGCATGTATGATTAATAGTAGATAATATAAGTATTGGAATTAACATAAGGATTTACATAAGGATTTACATATATTGGCAAAATTTTTTAAATAATAAACTAAATATAATTCAGCAAAACAGGACACAGTTTAAAAAACCAAACCAAATATTATATTAACTTAATTACTACACAATGATATAGCGCAAAGTAGACTCGCTATATTATTACTTTGATGAGTAGCACGGGAGTCAATGAATAACGCATTCAACGGATTGAAGAGACAGAGTTTACGTTAAACGATGTTGACTGATCGAACCGCAGTTTAAAAGTAAAACGCGTTGCAAAGACGCCGATCGTCTACTTCTGAACGCCGTCTAAACGAACCTCGGCAAAACGTTCGTTCTTACTTTCTTTGTCATTAGTCCCGTTTTAAAAGTCGTTCAACCAATCGGGTTATTCGTTTGTGACGTCATAAAAAACTCCGATAAGGTCGCCAGTTATTTTTTGAAAGCTTCCAGCGCATAAAATCTTAAGGCAGTCAAAAATCGTTGTTCGGAAGTTAATGACGATCCTTTTCCATTTCGATATTTAATTTCGTCGTCAATACGGTTTAAAATATAAACAAATTCATATTTAAAAAATTTATATGAATTCGAAATTTGTCTTCGGAATAGATTTTTAAAAACTTATTTTGACATCGTATTACTCTTCCTTTGTAATTGTCAAGATGAATAATTCAAAATATTTTATTATTATTATTATTACATTTTTTATTTCTATAAAAAGGCTTCGATAATTATTAAAATTGTCTCGTTTGTTTTTGTTTTTCTGGGCCACATTGGAAGAAGTCATGGAGTTTTGGCCCAATCCCTAAATATACAAGTATATGTAATGATTTACATGTCTAGATTATAGTAATAAGAATTAAAACTTTATTACGAA